CTAGGTGCGTTCTACATGGTCTCCCTGAAAGCAAGACCAAGTTGCGACAACGAGGTCAACCCACTTCTGCAATAATGCAGTTTTAAATTGGATGCATTATTTATGGATGATAGTTTCTCACTTTTGCATATAAAACGTTAAATAAAGTATCATCTGGGGGCTAAATTGTAATTATGAATCACCTGTATCGACGATTTTGCTCCTCTAGCCTTGCTACTTCTGCAAGATCAGCATTATAGATTTCTTCGAATAGGTGCTTCTGACGCCGGAGATCGGCTAACTCCTCTTCTTCCAAGACTTCAATAAGAGCTTGCTCTATAGTTTTGCCCACCAGAACTTCGAGAATTGGTCTCACTTCAAGGTCGAAGTCGAACAACTAAATCAAAAGTCATAGCGTATACAAGATATATTTTATCAAGTGGTTCCAGTATTCCATTTATTATTTTATTTAAATATGTTCATGCTTCAAACACATATAAAGCATTGGCAGGACTAGTCTGCTAAGACAAACTGACATAAACTATCCTCTTACAGTTTAGTACTTTTCATATAAATACGAATATAGAGGAAGTGATATTTGAGCCACAGTTTAACTAGTCGGTTAGAAACATGTGACCGGAGTTTTCTTATAAGCTATACGCTCAAATAACAAAGAAGGTAGACTTCAAAGTGAGGAAAGGAACAAACAGATATGTCTAAGAAAATAAGTTTCTATAAAAATGAAGCGCTTAAACGCATGCCTAATATTCTGTTTACTAATTGCCTTTTGCGCTATTTAAACGGTATTCAAATCGCGAAAAATTCTACACCTCAATCTATTATACTCCTATAAGGTTGCATACGGAAATTTAAATTAAGACTGTGGTTTACTCTTTGATGGAGTAGAATTGCGGTGAATATGTAATAGGAATAAAAGATCACAAAGCTGTTTTTATTTGCTTTTTAAATGTAGATAATGGCAAAAATAATTATATGGCTACTATTGAACCCCCTGTGTATTAGCGAGCTTCGTTCCTGCAACTAAGTATACTATGCGGCCTTAAATAAGTATGTATAAAGGCTTTTGATCGTTGAGCTTCGATTTATAAATTTGATTTTTAGGTTGCCTTCCTTTTCATAGTATGCTGTAGGTGTCAGAAGAATTTAAGACAAAAGATCTCATTCAATTATTTCACTATCTAAAACTTTTTACTTTAAAGATTGACTGAAGATAAGAAGACCAAGATGTTGTGGCATCTGGTATGGTCGCAGTCTGCTTTGACTCCTCCTTGTCTCCTCTTGTCTCTTTGACGAGTTTGTAGCTTGGTGCAGAGAATGGCAAAACTCACTGATGATGCCGACTATAATTCCGGCGAAGCGTTTGAGAATGTACCAAGTCCACTGCCTGATGCTGGGAATCACGACAACTGCTATGACAGACGACTTCGGACTAGGGGCGTTCTACTAAGTCGCCCAGACAACAAGACCAAGTTGCGACAACGAGGTCAACCCATTTATAGATTAAGCTTATTCTACC